TGTATCATTTGTTAAAATAGATGTTAATTTTCAAACTTAAGAAGTTTTTGTAAGATTGTTTACCAAATATGCCCTGATATTTATAAAACTTAATTTTAGAAATGTATATTTCATATTCTTTGGAGGTAAATGATTGAGTAATGTTTTGGAGATAAACTATTAGAGTTCTTTAGAGAGAAAGATATTACAGATATTTTATAATCTTTCAAACCAGAAGTTCTACATTCGAGTGGCGTGTGCCCGTAGCTACGTGTGTGACATAAATGTGACTTTTTGATGCAAAGCGCTTTTAGAAGAATTAAGCAGAAGGTTTTCCTTGGTAATTTTTTGGGCCCAAACTAACATGTATACATATGTTTCATGTAACCCATTTGTATTCAAACTAAATGCACAACTAAATTCACTGTATTACGGACATGCCAAAGTGCGTTGACAACTATTGTTTATAACTCAACCTTTTTTATATTAATGGTGCTGAAGCTAATTTAGAATGAATTTGACACTGAATAACATACGAAGAAGGGATGGACATAAAGAACTTTTCACAGTGATTAACATACAAATTGAGCATTTACTTTAATAATTATGAATAAATCGGTGTTCAATCTATACACTACAACCAGCATAAGCTACTATGTAGCAAACGATTGTTTTTTACGAGTTATCCTGGATCCTATAGTCTGTATGATGGGACCTGTCTATTTTTCACATTACACAAGCCACGAGTCAGTCTTGGGTAGACTGAGGGCTAGTAAAGAAAACAGGTCTGTCTATCAGTGAGACACATTATAACCTAGGAAAAGGAAGCGACTCAAAAGGAATAAAGTAAAGGAAGGTGATATACATGTCTTAGATTCACTAACTTAACCTAAAATTAATGAAATGGTAATTTATGAGAGATTTAAAAAGTGTCAAGTATCATGTAACTATTAAAAATACTTTTAATGGTTGAATAACTTTATGTTGTGATAATTAATTAGCAAAAAGGTCGTATGCAACATGCAACTTAGTTTCTTTTACTAGAATAACTCAAACTATTCTACAATATTTATGATTGAAGAAAAATTGTGAACATTACTTAAAATTTAACTTGTTTCTGTTGGTGATATTTTTCTTAAAACTGTGCATATACAGATAATGCCATTTACAAAGTTTCTATTATTAATTTACTTAAATGTTGATTTGTAAATGTTTATCGTTTGATATGTATTATAAAATTACATTAAAATTCAAGTTGGGTTTCATGGCATTTTTAATAATTCCAACGTGTTAAATGTTAATAAAAACTTCAACGCCAATGTTTTACTCAGCATGAGTTGAGTTTATGTCCTCAACAAAAATCAGGCGTGACTTACGGATTTTCAACCAATTCTTTTAAAAATAATATTACTAAAATACACTTCAATATTCAGTGACAAACTAAAAATATTTCCATTGGGCTATTATAATTTTTTCTGAAATTTAATTTATATTCATATAATTTAAAAATTGTTATTAGTCGAGCCTGTTTTAAACACATTTCCTTATATTTACAGTGAAATAAATGTATACATACCTGGAAGAGTCGTCATCCGTCGGCGCTATGGCCATGTGTAGTGTTCACCCGTCCATGGCACAACACATACTGAGTGTTGAGACACTGCGCTCGTACCCGCACACCCGCGCACCCGCGCAACACACACACACACAGACACTGATAACGTGGACCTGCCTCAATATCTACCGGACTACGCGGTCACGGATAAGGATGACCATATATGACTCCTCTTACAAATAAACTGTTAAAACTGGGAGTTGGAACAATTATAAAATATTTTTTATAAGGCGCAAAATTTAGGTTGGTTACACCTAGAAGTACAATAAACTTTTACCAACCCAAACAAGATTGATGATTTTTACATAGAAAAGTTCACTCTTCAAGTTGATCTCCTCTCCACAAAAAAATAAACTGAAATTATTTTGACATAGCCATTAGTAAACGTTCTTATTCTTAACCCGTACAAAATTGTATTCTGTTGAAGCTATACAAACAGTTAAAAAAAGCTCTCCCACTAAAGTAATTAAACAAAATAAATAATTATTTAAAATACTAATCCAACTAAATAGTAAGTAGAGTAAAATTGTGAACTAAATTAAATAATTAGTAAAAAACTAATTAATTCAACTAAGATTTCAACCCAACATATTAGCTTCACACCTATCCCGCCCAACAAAGGTGTGGGAACGTAGATCAATCATTGTCAGAGGTCATTGTAAGTATAATCTATAACAATGTCAGGGGCTAACTGGTTATGTGGTATCTCTAAATAGAATCGTGTGCCAACTGCGATAAGCATATCACTTGCATTTTGAATACATTAGCTGTAGTTTATTTGTTTTGTCAGAAGAGAAACATTTTATATTAGAATTTAGGTACAAAAGTATTATCGCAGTTTTTAAATGATTGATACGTCGTGGGTTTCATTAAAATATGCGATATAACTATTTAAAGCAATATTATAACTAGAAGCTTAGGGAAAGCCATCATGACTCCTGTAAACCTTGAAAGATCCTTCCCGAATCTGTCAAATCACTTTTGCTTTTAACATTGAAATGTATAATTTTCTGACGCGAAAGAATCGTTGAGTAATAATATAAGTAATTTCTATTTCCTCCATAATGAACCAACTCTTTCCGGAACAATGCTTGTGATATTTAAAGGTAAACAACATTTTAAGCAGTGGTATGTACTGGCCAGTTGAAAGAAAATACCTTCAGATTTAAATTTACATTCTTATATATTGTGTGAAATCGGGTATAATCACCATACTAACTATGGATTACTTTCAGGGTAGTATACAGTATGTCTTCAAACACTCTGGTTCATAACGATATTTTTCTGTTGCATCCTGACAAATTTATTCAACAACATGTTGCTTGATATCTAAAATCTATGATAAGTTTGAGCTACAAGCTTGAAGGTCGTCTTAACTTAACGAGGATTGACATGATTCACATACCAACAAACTCATATCCACACCCCGTCGGTCAATTTTTATATCGTGGGATTTTCTTTTATAGAAACAAATCCATAAAAATAAACCAATGAATTTAAGGAAACTTCGAATAGGTAAATAATATTTCTGTAACCACACAACGGTTTCTCAGTGAAATGTTTTTGATCAGTAACACACAGTAAAAAACCCCATCGAAATGAAGTGCGTTAAGCTAAGCTGGAGGGAGGACACCAAGTCGTAGTCGTTACTCAGTATGAAGTGTTGGACACAATGGTCTCTGTGTTTGACAACACTGCTCACTTACTGTCTCCTACACTGGGGCATCTTAGACCATCCCTTCAACAACCCTTCATACTGTCCTTTATCAACCATCTCTCTTTCTGTAGTATCAAAAGATATATTATCTTCACCAAACTAATTTACAACTGGTATACTAACGCAAAAGGGCTTCCCTTGCATTAAACACGTACACTCCCCAATGGTATCTGATTTATTGTTAAATACCCAAAAAAGTTATTTTTAACGAAATGAACAATGAAATGCTGACTAAACAGCCTACTAAGAAAAACTAATACATAAAATGGCGTTCTACGTTACACGTTTTTTGTAAGAAAACTGCGCTGGTCTTACTATCCAACATCAACTCAAACTACATAACAAAAATACATCAGCTACATAAGAAATACATGTTAATCTAAGTTTAGAATCGCACACGCGTAGAATTGAAACACCAATCAACCTCCCGATTAAAAACACGAGAACTATAATCACTCTCCTACCCAGAGAAATGTTTACCAAACATTTGTCTGTATTCATGTCTCTAGTCATGAAAGTTTATTTTTTAGAGCGTAAACTATTATCATAGTTTAGGAATATGTACAAATCTGTGTGATGAGATAAAGCTTATCATGCAAAGCATTTTGATTTAACTTTATATGTATATCAAACCGAATCAACTTAAACATAGGATCAGGGCATCTGCTTTATTAACTGTCATCCACAAAGACATATATCCTAATTTAAATGAACAATATTTGTTCAAGTAAAAACAGCGTTTTATTTGTGGTCAATCACATTATTATTTATTTTATTACAAAAAAATAATTATTGATGAAGTTAGTGACAAAATTAATCTATAGCCATTCAGAGATCAAACACAAAGTACAAGTGTGCTGTTACGAGGCAAGGTGCCGTTGGTTACGCCCAGGGCGTCACGGGGTTTTGCGCCCATCCATCTTGGCGCCTTGGGCGGATCTCTCGCCACTTCAAAGTGATCACCCACAGATTTGTCCCACACGATTACTCCATTACTTCACCTCACTTGCGTCCGGTTACGTTTAAACGCGTTGTATTTATACTCAACGTTCTTCTTGTAAAATATTACTTGAACACATGCTAGCCGAACAACATTTAACCTGGTAGGATATGGTTGGATGTATAAACATTGCAGACGTTACTAAAATAAAGCCCAATAATGCATAATCAATTACGTAAGTCAATGTGACGAATCTATAAGTCATGATATAGAAAAATATGTAATCTAAAATGCAAAAATATTACAAATACCCTTCATAAAATAAAGAATTGCGAAGGCATTAAAAACATTACAATTAAACTTGCAATACTACAAATATAAAACATTTAAAAGTACTTACTACTTCCAAGACAGTTGATATTAGGGTAAGTGACACATCAGACACGTACCTGTAAAAATAAAAATATACGTTACTGAGCATAAAAATGTTTTATCTAAAATTAGCATGCTTAGATCTTATGATTTTACAACCTCAAAAAACATCTTCCAGGTGATTGGAATAAGCTGAAAAGACACTGACAATATTTCCCTAAACAAGTGTTATATTTTTAATTTAAGTATTAGTTTAAAACAAGTACCTACCACAGATAAAGTTATCAATTTTATAATTATGAATATATGATGTGTATTTTTGGCAGAAGATAAAACACACAAAAAACTTGCCAATTTTGAAACATTGTATTACGCAATACATACACACATGTTTATTTAAGTTATTTGTGCTATGTCAAATTATCCTGGAATACAGTTTAAAATTGGTAAAGTTAAATTACAAAGTATTTTACAAACTAGTCACTACGACAGTCCAAGACAGATTTAATTGACTCTTCCAAATTGTCCACCAATGACTGAAGACTACTCTGAACACATTGTTCCACGCTGTCTTCAGCTCCTTCGGACGCTTGTTCGCTGAGGTCGGTCAGTCTACTTAGTTCCTTTTCAGTCAAAACACTACTCAGTTTATCCAAAGCAAGTTTCTCAGTGTTCTTACAAGCTTCAGATGGAGGAACTCGCAGAGAAGTACAAAGCTGTGCGTTTAATCTAAGTGTACTATCAATGGCTTGAATCTTAGCCAAATCTTCTTTAACGGCCTTCTTCAACGCATCAAAATCATCTTTAGGAATGGTTCTTAAACAAAGTTCTACAATGTCTTCGATATTTTCCTGAGCACCGTTGAATTTGTTTTTATTTTCCTGCGCAAATTTGCAACTCGTTCCAGCCGAACTAACGGCATCATTGTATCGTTTCAGTAGTTTAGTAGCTTCGTTGGAGGTTTTTAATTTAGTACCAAATTTGGATGTGTCTGATTCTGCGTCGGTGTAGAATTTCAATAATGTCTCAGCCGCTTTTTCCGTTTTATCGTTGCTGTAATTGAAGTCGAAAGATCCATTTGCTTCAGGTTCATCTGATCTTTGGAGACTCTGTAAAAAAGAAAGCAGTTGTTATTGTTGTGACGTAAAAATACGAGCGAAAATTCTACGGGTCAAAGCCTTAAAAAAGTGTGAGTTTAACCTACAACTTATATTACACGTTTTAATAATTTATTAATTATTATTAATTATATTTTTTTAGCTGTATGATGACTCTAAATAGTTAAAGAAAATTTTCATAAGGCCTCTAAACCAATTCTTAAAAAAAACTTAGCACATCTCATTTTTAATCTTAGAGATTATTAACAAAAATGGTTTTGGTTCGTAATCAACTCCATATTCGATTGCGGTGTAACCCAGTTTAATAACATCAAATGGTATTGGAATTTGACATTAAATAACCAATTACACAGCGCTGGAAACAATTAATTAACCCATACAGTTGTACATACCAAGGCAAAATAGACATACGACCACCAATATAATTATAATATAAGAAATACAAAAAGTATAATCACTAATCGTATAAGCTATGAAAATTCTAAAGACCGTACGAGAAAAATGTGCCGTATCCAGTGCCCGTTTGGGAAAAATAATTACTCTGTAAATAATATTGTTAAAATGAACGCCATAGTTTATTAGATGACAGTTATCTCTATTAAACTGTAATTACAAAAATAAAAATCATTGTAATTGTATTAATACAAAATGAGTATAATATTTTCAGTTTCTCAAAATAGTTTTCCGTTTAAAGACAACACTTAGTAATATATTCTAATCACACGCAACGTAGCTAATGTATTTCCAGAAATATATATTTTTATAATCTTTTTAACATAAAAAATTAACGACTTACCTTAACATTAATTGTGTTCGATGAAACAACGACTGCCAATGACAGTGGTACTAGCAAATACGTCAACATCTTGTGAACTGAAGCCGTGACACTCGGAGAAACGTGTGACACAGGTGATAAAAACTCCACCATCTGACATATGGCTCGTTACCTCTATTGTCTTGGTGTACTTCACCAATGAAAAGTAAAGATTAGTTTTTATAGCGTTTGTATAGCCTACACATGTTTGCCAAACTACAAACTGTCGTCAACTAATATCAAGGATGGATCGAGGTAAAAAAGTGGTTTGTGTATCGTAAACGTACGTTTTAACGATCAAAAGGCTGTGGTATGTACAAATACTTAGTTATAAAACATGAAATAAAAAACAATTTCGATAACCATTTAGTAAAATTTTTAACATAGCCTACGATCCCAGGAATAATTTGTAATTTGACATAATTTTTGAACTAAAATTAGCTTATGTTTGAGAAGGAATTGAAAAACAATTTCTAAATGTCAGAACTGACGTCACAAGCCAAAGGGATTAAACTTTATCGTTGATTCTAAAAATCTTGTACTTGACAAACACATATGGGAAGAAATATAATCAATACAGTCAGAATACGAGATGCACTAGCCAAACAAGCTGCAAGACAGTTAGGTACGAAGTAGCGGTGAAACATTGCACCAAAGCGGTGCAAGTTGGTAAACTTTAATTGACCCAAACTGCAAGTAAGTAACTTTGGTTGGAAACAAGAAGTTATTTGTTTCTCTACATTGTTTAGGTGAAAAACGGTTAACCTCACATTGTTAACTGTTTGTTGTTAAACTTGTCTCTTCCATTTATGTAGCTTTAAGTAAAATTCTCCTTATTTCTACAAAATTGATTAGTGAAAATAGTATACCCTTGTAAAATGCCATGAAATTACTATTACGTACACTTTACTTTTAACATATTTGTTTTATTTTTAGCAATTTCACCTTTCTGCAGACCTTTGCATAGCGTAAAAATAAATTGTATTGTATAAACAAAATTAATCCTGATTGGCTCAGATAAATGTTCACTTGTACTATTATTTGATATATTTATTAAATGCACTGTCCCCATAATTTTTAATCTATATCTACACTTATTCCTGTGGTATGATGTAATGTTATCGGCTCTGTGGTAAACCCAAAAAGCGTTCACTGTTTTATATGTAAATAAATATCGTATGTACACTAGTATACAATAAAATAATGATAAAATCAATAAAAAATATCACGTTTGAGTTTTGGCAAATATTAACAATTAATTTGCAAAAAACATTAATCAATACTCAAAACTACTTTAGAGGAAAATATGTTTTGAAACCATATAGTTGTTACATATTATATTTATTATAACAACATAATGTGGATTATTATTCAGAAAAACTCAGGTTTTATTAAAATTTTTGTAATATATCAGTGATAAACATATGATACGTGTACATTGAAGATGGCTGGACAGATATCGAATATTAAACAAGTTCGAGATTCGCTGATGCGGTAAAACAAAATTGTTGTTTGCACAAGTTCTGGCGTCAGATTTCTGCACTTCCTGAGATAAAAGAACGACGGCGAATCTTGCTTCCTATTCTCGGATTAGGTTATAAGCTTCCGTCATTGACCCGGTATCCGGCTCAGTGTTTGTCTTTTACAAACCCAATGTTGCTAACAATACCTACGGTAAACTTGCCGTTATCACTTTATTAAACGTCAAACTGTATCTTGATTTTTTTGAATTGGCAACATACTGGAATTCCATCAGGGCTCTGCCCCAGTGGCCTTTAAAGTTGCCATGTTATTCTTAAGGAGAAAATGTTTGTTTACATTTGAACATATGAATACTTTGAAATTGACACTAATATTTGAAACAGCTGGTTATAATAAAATTTTGCACAAAATCAAAACATAACCAAAAAAACGTTCGACATAATGGAGACTATAAGACGTTTAGCAGGACGGCCAATAGGAGGAGGCCGACGATCTTTAACTGGTAGACGCGAACTAAATACAAATAATACAATTGTCGTTGATATTCGAATACAGCAAGCATCCTTCCGTGTTGGGTTTAAGTGTGCTCTCCACCAGACGCCTGAAGATTTCACATTCAATTTAGGACTGTTGGATAATGGCTGCATAAGCTGTTGATTTTGGAAGACAAGGAGGCGAGTAGGACTACATCGGAAACAAAAGAGAGGAGATATTAGATGAGTGAAAAATGCGTTGTGAGCAGAGTGTTTTATGTTGACGTTTTAAAGGTATACGTTAGGATAAATATCTAACATCAGAAAGAGACTGGAACAAGATTGGGAGATGGACCATTATGAAACGCAGTTTGTCACAGGACATGGACAATTTTAAGGCGAATTTGTGTAAATTTTACCTGGTGGAAGACGAAGTACTTATATAGATGTGGAGAAATAAAAACCACTAGTCACGTAATAATAAATTGTTCACTTCAGGAGGCAAATAGGAGAGAACAGGAATAAGTCTTGGATAAGAGAGGTCTAGAGATGAGGAAATAAAACATGATGAGTGACAAGGAAACAATTGAGACGTTTAGAAAAGTCGCTAGGAAAATAGGAAAAACCAGGGAAACATACAGGCTTTTAAATCTAAATACCCCCGCTGCAGCAAACCTGCAGACTAAGCGAATTTCCATTTAACTGATTGGATTTAGGCCTACACTAAAATGTCTACTTAAAAAAAATAACATTAATTCCCTATTTAAATAGAATTAGTTTAACAAGTACTTAGGTTCGCTGCATCAGGGAGGGTAAAACTGTTTTTTTTTTTTTTTTTTTTTGTAAAATGTTAGTAGTTAGTAAGAAATACAAAACATTTCCCAAATTTGATCAAAATATGTTCATAAAAAAGCAAACTACAACAGTTTACTTATTCTCCATAAGAAACACATGGGAATTTTAAATTTAAAATTTTTTGGAATTTTCTCCGTAACTATTAGGCGCATAATAACGCTTCAATATACTAAATTATTTCTTTTTTTAAGCTCTACAAAATGGTTTGGAAAAAATTGCTAAATTTTATGTTTTTTGGGTCAAAAATGGGAAAAACCTATTTTTACCCCATAAAACCCCCCGTAAACCCTCGTTCCCATGGTCCGATCATGCTGGATCGCGAACTCGTTCGAATAAACGTAGGTTTACACGTTTGTACCAAATTTCATCAAAATCGGATCATTTTTGCTCGAGTTATCGTGCTAACGGACACACATATATATATAAACATATAAATATATATATATATATATATATATATATAAACATATAAATATATATATATATATATATACATATGAATTTGAACGGATGGTGTTTTTGGCCTCTAGGGACCTCAAAACGAAAAAAAAATCGGTCCCGTGTCCAGGTCTTACCATGAGTACTACGGTAATAGCTTATTCCCTATATGGGAAATTCGCTAAAAAAGGGTACTATGGTGTATTATTTATTAATATTAATTACAGTAGCCCTTAACGTGAACAATATCAAATACAATATATATATATGAGTTTGAACGGATGGTGTTTTTGGCCTCTAGGGACCTCAAAACGAAAAAAAATCGGTCCCGCGTCCAGGTCTTCATGAGTACTACGGTAATAGCTTATTCCCTATATGGGAATTTCGCTAATAAATCAAAAAAATAAACAAACAAAAACTAAGAAAGAAAAGGAATGAAAACTTGCCCATGAAGGGGAGAGGAAAGGTTAGGGCGAATCTCAATGATCCCTATCGCTCAGGGCGGTATGGGGAAGGGAGTCGTGTTGGCCCCCAGTACACTCTCGCCGAGGCGCCTCGCCGAGGCACTCGTCGAGTAATTCGGACGAGAGCTTATGCGAGGTAACCGTGTACACTCTCGCATTTTCTCGCAGTCGAAATGGAACAAACTTCGATGTGGAAGTAGCGCTCGCCACTCGTGCAGTCTCTGGTCCTTTGACTCGTGTCAAAAAACCAACTCCAGATGGAGCGCCGGCGAGCACGAGGCAAGGCGAGGCGAGGCGACCCGAGTCAAGGCGAGAGAAGACGAGCGAACCGTGTACACTCTCGCACTCGCCAACGCTCGCCTTGCCTCGGCGAGAGTGTACTGGGGGCATAGGCTTTTGAACACATACGTCTGGACGAGGATTGAAAGTGGCTGAAGCCTAAAAAGAAAGAAGATTTTCACGGAGAATTGGCCAGAAGTCCCAGACGTAAGCCAGGGGTGGTGGTGGTAACGAGGAGTTTGCTACAAACATTTACTGACTTGGTTGAAATTAAATGTTTACTATTTGAATTTGGGTTGGCGTACATATTAAAATGGAAAAAGCGTGAGAGCCTGGATAATTTTATATACTAAACAAAAAAATAATACAACTGTGCTGCATTTCTTAGTAATAATTGAAAGAGCCGATTTGCAAACTATGGAAACGTAGGAAAGTCATAGAACACCACCAAGGGGAAGAAATAGAAATAATATTTTTTTGTGAAATTATGACCGTTATTCGTAATGCCTGTAATACTTAGCAATTGCTCGAATTCGAGCAAATAATTAAACATTATAATTACTGTACTAATACGTCTGATGAACCCTAATCTATTATTGAATAAATTTCCTAGCATGACGACTAGGGCCTATATAGAACTAGTTGGTAAATAAAAGTAGACCAAAAAGGCTAAAGGTTATTACAGATATCAGTAAGCTAGTTAAAAATTGATTATTATAAGGAATTGTCATTTAGTGAATTACTGTACTCGGGTGTATAAAACAGATACAAACGGGTTGAATTTGCCTTGATGAAAACTTGTGTTCACTCACAATGGAAAGTCATGTTTATAAGCTTATTTGATTTCGTTGTTGTTATGTCAGTGTCACTAGTTTACCCGAAACAGTCGTATTTAAATACTAGCGACTACAAAGCAATAATATTAGTTATATGTCATATTGTGTTAGTGTCACGAAATTATATTACCAATAACGTGATAATTACGAGGAGGATGATTTCTGCATTTTTTTCTGATGTTTCTAACAAAAACAAACTTATAAGCATGTTAATTAATTGTTGGTATTAACAGCTGTGTTTATTAAGGCAAAAAGAAAATCCATCTATTTTAT